GGAGAGAGAGTCTCTGCTTAGGAGCAGGGGGGCCCAGAGGTTTTGGACTTGAGACATTCCCTTCTTGTCCCTGCCTCATGCTTTCCTCCCACCATCTCAAATGCTGAGTGGGTCACTTACCAGTTAGAGCTCTCTCTGGTTATAGATTTTCATGGATAGGTCCTTCCTATGGAAGGCCTTCTATCAGGAGATTTTATTCTATCCTTGCTGAAAGGACTGTAACCCTGCCCACGGTGATCAAGCACACCTTACACTGTGCCAGTTCCCTCCCTTGTCTTGGGCCCTGTCTTTAGACCTGGGCACCAAAATACATTTTGTTGCCAAGGAATGAAGCTTGAGGGTGTAGTTTGGAGCAAAGCAGGCTGAGTGATACAGAGATACAGATGGTGTGCTGTGGGCCCTGCCAGGGGCAGGAAGTTAGGGTTTGAGAGCAACTCATGAAGAGGGGTTGCTTCTGCCTGCAGATGTTGATGGACTCCTAAGCCAGGCCCTTCTGCTTGGGGAGCTGGGCCCGGCTGTGGAGCTGTGTCTGAAGGAAGAACGCTTTGCTGATGCCATTATCCTGGCCCAGGCCGGGGGTACAGACCTGCTGAAACAAACACAGGCGCACTACTTGGCCAAGAAGAAAACCAAAATCTCCTCGGTAACTGCCCATCATGCAGGAGAAAAAGGGAGGGGATTACTGGGACATCGTGAGGTGCATACTCACACTTTGGGACCTGTGTTTGAGTATCTGCCTGGCTCTCTCTCTCTCTACTCTAACTGCCCCCACCCCACCACTGGCCCCTACTCAGTGGTCTAACGGGAGGCCTGTGCAGGACTCCTGCTGTCTATGCTGGATGGATGGCTGATGGCCTCTTTCCCTCTCTGCCCATTACAGCTTCTAGCCTGTGTTGTGCAGAAGAATTGGAAGGATGTGGTGTGTACCTGTAGCCTGAAGAACTGGAGAGAGGCACTGGCCTTGCTACTGACGTACTCAGGCCCAGAGAAATTCCCTGAGCTCTGTGGTAGGTGTGGCCGCAGGCTTCAGGGTAAAATGGTGTGACTCCAGCATGGAGTAAGGGATGCATGCAGGGCGGAGGTGGAGGAGCCCGAGCTCTGGGAAGCCAGGCCATGTTCTCAGGGCTAGAGTCTGGCCCAGCCAGGAGGCAGGGACCACAGTGCATGCCCCTACTTTCAGAGGGGATCCTTTGTTGTCCTGTTTTACTTTGTCTTGTCACATCATGATGTGAGCACTTTCCCCTTCTCTGTACAGCAACACTCTGTTTCAGTGTTGTCTTAAAGCCACTGTAGCTACTTGTCCCAAGCTCATGGTCCTCTCCCTGTTTCCAAACAGGAGATGGAGGGGCGCACAAGGCAGCTGTGCCATTAATGAAATTTCCCTCTCTCTGCAGACATGCTGGGAACTCGCATGGAACAGGAGGGCGGCAGGGCCCTAACCTCCGAAGCCCGACTCTGTTATGTATGCTCAGGGAGTGTGGAGCGGCTGGTGGAGTGCTGGGCAAAAGGCCAGCAGGCCTTGTCCCCCATGGCTCTGCAGGTACCCCTTCTCTTCAGGGTACTGGCCACTCCATATCAGGCCCTTAGGAGGCTAGCGGTGGAGGATGTGCAGAGCTAGCAGAGTCGAATCTTCTGGGACAGGCTGGAGCCAGGGTGTTAGGGAGGAGCAAAGGGTCCTCAGTGTCTGGGATTGTCTCTTCTTCCCTCAGAGGAGACCAAGCAGCAGCTGCTTCATTGTTAGTCCCCATAATCTTTTTCCTATCTCAGGTTTGGTTTTACAAATGTATTCACTATTTGAGCAAGTGTGGTTTGGCCCTTCTATTAGCTACTGTGAAAAATTCTGTGGATCTAAACTACCAGGTGTCCTGTGAGTCACCACAGAAAGTGAGGGTCACAGACTCATGTAGAGACAAAAGTCGCACATGAAACAATTAGGGTAACAGACTCTGTGGTTGATGATGTATACACAGAAAGGGTCAAAAAGCAAAAGGAAGAGGCAGAGATGTACAAAAATGTAAGACCCAGATGGGTCCAGTTAAATCCAATCCTAACGGCTTGGGAGGTGAGGCCAAGTGTCCCTTCTCTGTCATGGTTCTTACATGTCATCATCTGCTGCGTTCACCTAGGTATGGCCAGGTACCCTCATCTCCACCAATAGTAGGAGATCCCTGAGTGAGCTGCCTGGGCTTAGAGAGCAGGATATGCCTCGATGAGAGCTTACCACCCTCATCCTTGTCCTTATAGGACCTGATGGAGAAGGTGATGGTTCTTAACAGGAGCTTGGAGCTACTGCAGGGTCCTCTTGGGGTGAGCCCAGGCCCTGCCACAACCTACAGGGTCACTCAGTATGCCAACCTCCTGGCAGCCCAGGGCAGCCTGGCCACAGCCATGAGCTTTCTCCCCAGTGACTGTGCTCAGGTAAGTGGGGCCATGTGGAGAGAGCAAACCGTTTCATTCGGTCATCTAATATTGATTGAGCACTTCCATGTTCTAGGCACTATGCTAATGCCGAAGCTCCTAGGATAGATAAGATCAAATCCCTTAAGCTCCTTACAATCTACTGGGGGAAGATGAGATGTCAGTGACTTATGGTGCCATAACAGAAGCTTATACTGAGCACTGTGGGAGTCCAGGGAAGGGACTGATTTTTGCCTGGAGAAGTCAAGGAAGGTTTCCCAATGGTTAAAACAGCTGAGCTGGACCTTCAAAGAGCAGTAGCTTACCAGCAGATGCAGGACATTCTAAGCAGAAAGAATCGCAAGGAGGGAGGCATGCAGGTGTTTGGCGGGAATTCAGCAACTTTAAGTCATTTCTAAGGGGGCCAGAGTGTACAGCAGGGTGTCCAAGGGTGAGAATACAATGGTGAGTTCTTAGTTTCTGTTTCTGGCTAGTCCAGTAAAGCCCCTTCCTCATCCCTCTTTTCCACTTATCACTAGAGACAGAAACCAAAAACCATGACTTCAGGCTGCTAAAAGCCTAAAACCAAACAGAACAACAGAACAAAATAAGACGGGTTGGACAAGCTTGGCATAGAGGGTCAGCTGAAATTTGACTGCTACCTGGGGCCTTGATTATTCTAATTAACTTGACACAGCTCTTCCTCATTAAAACTTACAGCCACCAGTTCAGCAGCTAAGAGATCGGCTTTTTCATGCCCAAGGTTCTGCTGTTTTGGGCAAACAATCTCCCCCTTTCCCTTTCCCCCGGCTTGTTGTGGGAGCTACCCGCCACTCTAAAGAGATATCATCTTACAGTTTGGGATCCCAGCCTTCTCACCAGGTAAGACCTTATTTGTTAATTCATTAGTTCATTCATTCAGTAATACTTATGTGTCAAGCGTGGTTCTGGGCACTTGGAATATATTAATGAACGAAACTGATGAAAATTCCCAACTTCCATAGAACATAGATTTGGTTCTTTTTATAATAAATGTTTATTGAACAACTACTAGGCTCTTAGGACATAAAGGTGCAAAAATCGTGATACTTGCCCTCAAGTAGCTCATAGTCTAGTGGAAAGATAGATATGTAAAAAATAGCTACAGTAAAATTCTTAAGTACCATAATTGGGGTATGGCAAGGGGCTATACGATCATACAGAAGAAAGCAGTTTACTCTGTATGGTGAGCTTGGTGGGGCAGTTCAGGGAGTGCTTCAGAATCCGTCTGATGTTTGATCAGCGTCTCAAAAATTAAAAGTTATTTAGGCCAAGGAATGGGTAGGTGAACCCTGTTTCAGGCACAGAGAATAGCAGGTACAAAGACTGAAGCAAGAGTAAGCTGAGGCCTTTTGAGGATTACTGATGTTTAATTGGGGCTGCAGCACAGGTGTTTGTGGCCGTGAAGTGAAGTTAGATGAAGCTGGAACAACGGGGTAGGAGTTCAGTCACTAAGAACGTAGCATTCTGTGCGAAAGATCTTGACAGGGAGGAGCTGTTGAACGGTTTTATGAAGGGGAGTGATATAATTAGCTGTATGTTAGGAAGGGCCAGGCTGGAGGGAGTAAGGAGGCCATAGCAAGGGATGATGAAGACATGAAATAACCTAAAGCTGGCCAGTGAAGTTGGATTTGAGATACTTAGTACTTAGTAGATAGAACTGACAGAATTGCTGATAGTTTGGAGAGGTGTATGTGTGGCTGGGAAGCTGAGGGATAGGAAGGAGGTTCTGGCCAAAGTGCCCAGGTGGATTGGGTACTGTTAACATACAAGGCCAGAAGCTTATTAGAGAAGCTGGGGAACAGAATTAGGGAGATTTGGATACAGTTATCAGGCAGAAGCTCTGATGGCTCATCTTGTCCCACCTTCAATTAGCAATCCCTAGCCTAATTCCTTTTTTTCCTTGCTTTTCTCCCTCCCTTTCTTCCCTCGCTTGTCTCTCCTTTCACCCCTTACCCCTACCCTCTCCTCCTCTCCCTCTCCCTCTTTTCATTTAAAAATAACTATGGATTCACAGGAGGTGGCAAAGAAATGCACTGGTATGTCTCCTGCATCCCAACACCACCTCCCCACCACGTCAGCATCTCACACAACCACAGTAGAGTATCAAAACCAAGAAATTAACATGAATACAATCCATAGATTCAGATTTCAGATTCAGTTTCCACCAGTTTTACGTATTGTTATGTGTGTTTACGCAGTGTTGTCACATTGTGGTCTGTAACCACCAGATTCAAGACAGTCCATTTTACCATCACCACAAGACTCTCCTGTGTTACCGCTTTTATAGCTGCACTTGTCCCACATTCTCATCCTTGGCTTCACCAATATGTTCTCTGGCTCTATCATTGTTATTTAACGATTGTTACGTGAATAGAATCGTGCAATATGTAGCCTTTTGAGATTGGCTTTTCTCACTTAGCATAGCTTCTTTGAGATTCATTCAAGTTGTTGTGTGTACCAGTAGTTCATGCGTCTGTATTGCAGAGTAGTATTTCTTTTTTTTTTTTTTTTTTTTCTTGGTTTTGTCCTTGTTTTTTTTTTTTTTTTTTTTTTTTTTTTTCTTGGTTGGCACCAGTGTTTATTTCAGGAAGCAGGTCTGGAAGACCTGGGTCTGTCCAGTGGAGTCCTGGAGCCTCCAGCTTCTCACTTGGCCTTCGGGTTGCGGAACTTCCGTCCAGCAAATATAGCCTTGTCCCCAGGAGCCTCCTCGATCCTCATGAGTTGATTGTATTTGGCCAGACGCACCGAGCGACAGGGGGCGCCAGTCTTGATCTGTCCTGTGCAGAGCCCCACCACAAGGTCAGCAATGAATGTGTCCTCAGTCTCCCCAGAGCAGTGGCTTACCATCACTCCCCAGCCGTTAGACCGAGTGAGTTTGCACGCCTGGATCGATTGAGTCACCCAGCTGATCTGGTTGACCTTCAGCAGCAGACAGTTGCAGGCCTTCTTCTCAATGGCCTGGGCAATCCTCTTGGGCTTGGTGACTGTCAGGTCATCCCCCACAATCTGGATGTCTACTCCCGAGAGGAACGAGATCCAAGTGGCCCAGTCATCCTGGTCAAAGGGGTCCTCGATGGAGACCACAGGGTAGTTCTTGATGAAGCTCTTATACAGCTCTCCGAACTTCTCCCCAGTGATGCGCCGTGCGGGATCATCAGGTGACTTGAAGTCAAGATCGTATTTCCCATTGCGATAGAACTCAGATGCTGCCACATCCATGCCGATCACCACCTTGTCTGGATAACCAGCTGCCTGGATGGCCGTCTTCAGCAGCTCTAGGGCCTCATTGTTCTCCAGGATGTTGGGTGCAAAGCCACCTTCATCACCCACATTGGTGGCATCCTTCCCATACTTGGCCTTGATTACCCCCTTGAGGTGGTAGTAGACCTCAGCACCAATGTGCATGGCTTTTGAAGGAGCTGGCTCCCACAGGCAGAATCATGAACTCCTGCATGGCCAGCTTGTTTCCAGCATGGGAGGCCCCGTTGATCACGTTGAAAGCTGGCACTGGGAGTATGAGGTCAGGGTTCTCAGCGAGATCTGCGATGTGTCGGTACAGGGGGACCCCCCTTCTCAGCTGCTCCCGCCTTACGCACGGCCAAGGACATGCCCAGGATGGCATTGGCCCCAAACTTGGACTTATTCTCGGTCCCATCCAGCTCAATCATAAATTTGTCAGCTTTTTCTTGATCCACAACACTTAGTTTCTTTTCCAGCAAAGCAGAGCCTAGAGTCTTGTTGATGTGTTCCACAGCCTTCAGGACTCCTTTCCCCAGATAGCGGGCTTTGTTTCCATCTCTTAGTTCCAGAGCTTCATAGATACCCGTGGAAGCCCCACTGGGCACAGCTGCTTGGAATTGGCCCTTGGCTGTGTGCAGGTCCACCTCCACTGTGGGGTTGCCCCTGGAGTCCAGGATTTCCCGAGCAAAGATTTTCTGCATGGCCATGGCTGGGATGTCTTCACTGGAGAGCTGGATGGAGCTCTGAGTCTAGGTGGCAGCTGGGACAGTGTCAGCTCACCCCCTCTCAGGCTGCGAATTTATCCCTGAGCCACCCTGTCCCCAGCCAGCCCCGCCTCTCTCTCCATCCTCCCCGCTTCACACTGGGCTGGCAGCCAAGTGCCCACTACAGCCTAAAGCAGAAGCCTCTGGCTCTGGGCACCTGCCCCCTTACCAAAGGTCAACTACTATCTCCCACTTTCTCCAGAGTAGTACTTCATGGTGTGAATGTAGCATGGTTTTTATTTTTTTATCCATTCAAACTTTGAAGGGCATTTGGGTAGTTTCCAGTTTGGGGCTATTATGAATAAAGCTGCTGAGTATTCATATACAAGTTCCTAATTGACATCTTTACTAGCTTCAGTCTCTCAATCCATGAATGTGACATGTCTCGCCAATGCTCTCTCCATCAGTGTTTTATAATTTTTATCACACCAATCCTGTACATATTTTGTCCAATTCATACTTAAGAGTTTGATTGTTTTAATATCACCTATCAGCCCATGCCTATTAAGTATTTAATTTTCTCTTGAGCAGTTTAAAATCAAATCATATTATATTTGAATCTTGGTTTCCATGTGTTCATTGTAAGTATGTAGAAATGCAGTTGATTTTTATGTGTTGGTCTGGTTATATCCTGTGACTTTCCTGAATAGTTCTAGAAGTTTTTTGTGGATTCCATGGAGTTTTCTGTTAGACAGTCATGTTGTCTGCAAATCTGCAAACAGATAGTTTCCTTTCTTTTCAATCTATGTGCATTTAATTTCTTTCTCATGCCTTACTGTAGTGACGAGGACTTCCAGTCTATGTTAAATAAGAATAGTGAACATGAGCCGGTGCTGTGGCTCATGCCTGTAATCCCAACACTTTGGGAACCTAAGGTGGGTGGATTATGTGCGGTCAGGAGTTCAAGACCAGCCTGGCCAACATGGTGAGACCTCCATCTCTACTAAAAATACAAAATTAGCTGGGCGTGGTGGTGCATGCCTGTAATCCCAGCTGCTCAGGAGGCAAAGCTGGAGAGTTGCTTGAACCCGGTATGTGGAGGTTGCACTGAGCTGAGATTGCACCATTGCACTCTTGGGCCAACAAGAGTGAAACTCCGTCTCAGAAAAAAAGAATAGTGAACATGAATGTCCTTGCCTTGTTTCCAGTCTGAGAGGAAAAACATTCAGTATTTCAGCATTAAGTATGATGTTAGCTTTAGGTTTTTGTAGATGCTCTTTATGAGACCAAGGATGTTTCCCTCTATTCCTTGTGTCTTAGTCCATTTTGTGCCTCTATAACAGAATGCCACAGACTGAGTAATTTGTAAAGAACAGAAATGTATTTTTTTTTTTTTTTTTTTTAGACAGATTCACTCATGTTACCCAGGAGGAGTGCAATGGCACGATCTCGGCTCACCGCAACCTCCGCCTCCTGGGTTCAGGCAATTCTCCTGCCTCAGCCTCCTGAGTAGCTGGGATTACAGGCACGCGCCACCATGCCCAGCTAATTTTTTGTACTTTTAGTAGAGACGGGGTTTCACCGTGTTGACCAGGATGGTCTCGATCTCTTGACCTTGTGATCCACCCGCCTCGGCCTCCCAAAGTGCTGGGATTACAGGCTTGAGCCACCGTGCCCGGCCTTGTCAGATGTTTTTTCTACATCATTTCTGTGATCATACTATTTTCCTTCTTTAGCTTGATGATATAGGGGATTAAATTGATTGGTTTTTAGATATATTGGACCAGCTTTGCATGACCTGGAATAAATCCCACTTTCTTGTGGAATATTATTTTTTGTATACATTATTTGATTTGCTAAAATTTTGTTGAGGATTTTTTTTTTGTCTAAGTTCATAAGAAATATTGTTGTTAGTTTTATTTTCTGACATCTTTTTCTGGTATTGGCATCAGGGTAATACTGGTCTCATGAAATTAGTTAGGAAGTGCTCCTTCTGTTTTCTGGAAGAGATTATGTGAACTTTGTATTAATTCTTTGATTGTTCAGTGAAATTCTCCAGTGAAACCATCTTGGCCTGGAGATTTCTTCTTTGGGAGCTTTTAAATGACAAATTCAATTTCTTTAATTGTTGTAACACTACCCAGATCTTCTTTCATTGTGAGTGAGTTTTGGTAGTTTGTGGTTCTCAAGGAATTGGCCCATTGCTGATAAGTTGTCAAATATATGAATGTCAAGTTATTTGTCGTATTTCTTTTAACGTAGTAATCCTTTTAATGGCTTTGGGCCTGTTGTAATAGTCTCTGTTTCATCTCTGATGATGATTTATGTCTTCTCTCTTTTTATCAATTTTTATGTGTTTGTCAGTTTTACTGATTTTTTTTCTCAAAGAACTAGTTTTTGTTTCGCTAATTTTCCCCATTATTTTTCTGTTTTCTATTACTTACCTTTCTCTTTCCTTTCTAAGAGCTGATGCTTTTTTCTCTTCATAGGTTCCAGCTCCATCTCCAAGGCCAAGGCTTTTCACCCCTCAGTCGTCACCAGTGATGCCCTTGACACCATCCCATCCTAACCCTTATCAGGCCCCCAGGACGCAGTATATAAGTGACTACAGGGCACCTGGGTCCCAGGCCGTCCAGCCTTTGCCTCTGGGCCCTGGGGTAAGGCCTGGTGAGTGAGTCAGTGAAGTTCTATCTAGGCAGAGCACAGAGGTCTCAGGAAAGCAACTGGCATGGCCAGCATGGATTTGGGGGTCTGTATGTCTGTCTAGTGACAGGAGTTTGGAAGTTGAGAATTGTGAATTCCTAATGCTGTCACTGGTATATTGCCAAAGGTACGAAGCCAAAGTGTTGTGTTGGTTATTTCAACCCTATGAGATTGTTTTGAAAGTCAGTCACATAAGGAATATAGTTAAAAGAATTTTGTAAATTATAGATTTCCATGTACATGTATTAATCATTATTAATTTTTTGTTGCTATCCTGTTTCTCCCTGATATGCTCTGAGATGCTCCTGAATTGAAGTTTAGTGACAAATGACCTATTTCTCTTCCACTTCAGCTTCATCTCAGCCACAGCTATTAAGAGGGCAAAGGGCACAAGCTCCTAACCCTGTGGGATTCCCTGGGACATGGCCTCTTCCTAGTTCCCCTCTACCCACGGCATCCCCAGACATCATGCAGCCTGGCTCTACCTCCCTGCCTGAGACTCCTAGACTGTTCCCTCTGCTTCCTGTGAGACCACCAGGTCCCAGCCACATGGCCTCCCACACCCCAGCCCCTCCTGCGAGCTTCCCTGTGTCAACTCCTCCGGGGGTCCCAGGTGCCCCATGCTCCAGTGTCCTCCCAACCACTGGCGTCATGACTCCTCACCCAGGTCAGTCTTCCCTCCATGGGTCCCTCTTGTGGGTTATTGCTTCCCCTGCCTCTCCCACTACTTTGGGAGTCTTTCCTCAAGCCAGAGGGCTGGGGTCCCATTGGGGGAGGGTGGCCAGGAGTGTAGATGGTCTGCAGAGGGAGGTATGGTGGACTCCAACTCAAAGAATGCTTCCAGCTTTCAGATCAAAAACTAACAGTGTTTTTCACTATGCACCTACAAACCTCTATCTTTTTACCCTATAGGACCTCAAGATTCCTGGAAAGATGCTCCAGCCTCCAGGGGAAACCTCCAGAGGAACAAGGTCAATGCATCTTTCCCCACCCACTCCCTTGTACATTCCCCAGTGATCTACGTTCTAATTCCTTAGAGGATTCAGTCAGTCCTTCCCCTTCTCAGGCTGTCCCCACTCTCCTCCCACTTACTCTCCTTCCCTCAGGACCTTGTCTTTCCCTCTTACACACATACGCAAGTTTCCTCATTTCCCGGTTTCCCACACTCACTCTTCTGCCTCTTTGTTCATTATCATTCCCGCCACTCCCCAAAACCAGAGCCATGGAGTCTCTCAGCTTAGACTCATGTGTCTTTCCTTCTGTCTCTTTAGCTGCCAGAGACATTTATACCCCCAGCACCAATTACTGCTCCAGTTATGAGCCTCTCCCCTGAACTGCGAGGGATTCTTCCCTCACAGCACCCTGTCTCCGGTGTGAGTCATGCTCCCCCAAGAGCTCCAGGAGAACGCAGCCTGCAGGTGACAGGGACAGTGTATTCCCCTCCCTTGGGAAACCTTCCAGCCCTCCTTGGGTGTAGGTCATGGTAGACGGGCCTCATTCTTCAAGGTAGAGACAGTCTCTGAGCTGAGGGAGACTGGGGGCAGGTACCAGGTGTCCTTACTGCAAAGAGAGGGAGGCTGCTCCTCTCCGCCACTCTGCTCTAATGGGAACAGTGTGACTATGAGTCACTGAGGACTAATCCTTAGGGAAGCCATGAGAAGGACAGCTTGCCCTTCTGGCCTTTCTCCCCACTTCTTTATCAGCAACTTCGGCAGCTGCCCCCTGAGAAAGTGGAGAGGAAGGAGCTGCCTCCAGAGCATCAGTCCTTGAAGACCAGCTTCGAGGCCCTTCTCCAGCGCTGCTCCCTGTCTGCAACTGACTTAGTAAGTCTCAGCCTTCTCCACGGTGCCCTCCTCGCACCCCTAGCTTGTTCCAGGACCTCGGCTGTGGACCGGTTCCTTTTGTGACTCTCTTCTCACTGCCTCTGGGCATGCTCTGTCTGTACTTATTTGATGTCCTTATGGAGCAGGGGGAGAGACTTCAAGTCTGGTCTGAAGTCCAGCTCCTTGGTAGCAGGACCAGCAGCATTGAGACTAAAGACAGCAGGAGTAGTGGAAGCAGGGTGAAGCCAGGAGTGAGGAAGTCTGCCATTCCTTTGCTGGCTGCGCCAGCTTGAGCAAGTCACTTCCTTCTCGGGCCTTCACTTCCTTTGTGAAATGAAGCTAGCTCTAATATACTATGATTCTTTATGGCCCTGGGTAGTGTTATCCTTGGGGGTTGGGGTTGGAATCTATTTCTTTCCCTGCAGAAGACAAAAAGGAAGCTGGAAGAGGCAGCCAAGCGTCTGGAGTGTCTATATGAGAAGCTCTGTGAGGGGACAGTAAGTACACCTAGCTGTGCTCCCACTGCCTCCTGCCCCCCCACCATCACCATGGCCAAAGGAAGCCCAGCGTCTTTTCTTC